TAACTCCGGAAATAAAAATAAATTTAATTTAATGGGTAGGCTTAATTTGAGAGACACACCCACTTCTGAATGTTAGAGGTAAAGAGAGGGGTAACAGACGAGAGAATTATTAGTGGTACTGTTACCCCTCTCTTTAGCTCTAACATTCTTCCCACACTCGCATTGTCCTTAATCTCGCCTTTCCTAGCCAAAGATAAATGTATGTAGTACACACTATTACATAATGGTGACAACCCGCTAGAATATTGGTAACCCCGTCGCTACACACCTATCTCAGTGAAGGAGTCATATGGGAACTTGAAATTTCACCCGTTTAGTAAAGGTATCACCACGTTCCAGAAAAGCTTAAACACTAATTTTTCTAGTGGGTAGTGGTAAATGTAACTTTAGTGACCAGAATTGACCTGATGTGAAACTCATAAATTAAAGAATACAGTATCACATAACTGTCATATGTCATAGCTGCATGCTAGTTTGCAAGCATTGGAATGAGCTACATGACAGAAAAAAGATATATAAACGACTGCCAAGAGAGGTTAGGCTATCTCTCAGACATTGTAGACGAACATTATGATGCCCAATTTTGAATGAGAATGTGAGGCTGTAGTGAAAGAGATAATCAGGTACCCCGGAAAAAAAAGTTTGTGTTTTATATATATATCTGCCGAAGAAGGATTACCAAAAAAAGTTATCAATTTTTTTTCTTATAGCGAAGAAAACGGTTCTTACCTCGTCAAACCAAGCTGATAACGCGTCGCGTGTATTCTGTGACGAAAAAAGAAAACAAGTCCGTTTTTCAAGGAGTCGCTATAAAAAGTATTTTGATATGCAAATTACGGAGCATCCTATCCCAGCTGTCGAATGAAAAAAATAAGTTCTTTTACACGTTCAAGAAGTTGGTGTTCATTTTTTACATTAGTGTAGATTTTGTTTCATCTAAATTAAATTTTTTCATCGAAATAATTTTTTTTTTGGGGGTTTATATTCTTCAGGTGGTTGGAATTAAGTTGAACTTGAACCCTTTATTTTTTATTATATCACTGGGGTTATTATTTACTGTTTTAGTTCCACCTGAAGAAGGCCGGAGCGTACAACGGCCGAAACGTTGTATTCCATATGGCGATAAAGATGAGGATATATATTATATACTAATGTAAACACACACACATATATATATATCATCTCAGAAATATAGACAGACGCAGTTGGTGTTCTTGATCCGGAGGAGGGAAATTGGGGCATTTTTATATAATCGGCGTTTGTTAGAGAGTGAGTTATTTTCCTGACTGGTTAATAAAATTGTGATTCGAGATAGTACCAGCGAAACAATTTTCAGCATTTCTTTCTGATAACCGATATTCGAGTCTGTATTTACGGTGATTTTTCTTTCCGTGTTGTGGAAGTAATCACACACAAATACTTCCTTTGCTTTCAGAACGCTTACACTTACAGAGGCCATGCTTTCACACACTTATTTCTAAAGAGGGTGTCGGAGTTAGCCCTCCTTTTTTATCTTTAACCCTTCACCAGGGGACTCTCTCCCCTGGCTATAAATACTGGGTGTCCTTTTGCTTCGATATCTCTTTTCCCTCAGGCCTTGGGCCTTATACCATCTCGCGTTGATGAGGTGGGGTAATTCTTTTTCTCTTCATTTTAGCTAATATCAATATGTGAGCTCTCACCAATAAAGCATTTCCCAAATTCTGGGAACACGCTAAGAACAATACCAATACACGTACGTACGAACACTCACCACAAAACACACACGTAATATTCACCACACAAACTCAATGTAACTGTCCATGTGCTTGTAACTTGTTGTTAATACATATATTTGTTTATATATAATTATCGGTCTTGATTGTTTTCTTTGTCTTCTTTGGACTTAATTAAAGTCCAACATTCTCATGTAACTGGACTGGCTAGCAGGAAATTTTAACCCACGTTGTGTTCTTTATATCAACACCGCTTCAGTCCTCAACAAGGGTAATTGACAAAGTAATTTGAGTGAATAAAACGTAATGATAAATATGAAAAATTCAAGTCTCATGTTCTTGTTAAAATATGTAATGCATTATCATTGATCGATACCTCTATTTAATTACACCTTGCTAGAAAACTAAAATCTGTGGAATATGAAGTTATATTCATAGTATTTAGCATATTTAAAATCATCTCAAAAGTTACAGAAAGGAGGAAGGAGTGAAATCATCCATGCCATAACAGAAATAGGATTGACAAGATCACCAAGAAAAGTATTGGATATTTCTGGAAACTAACTCTTGCTCTATTTCCATTAACAGCCACCAAATGACTATAGTGTGGACATCCAAGCATAATATGAACACTGAAAAATTAAGAAAGAATAAAAACAATAAAATAATTTATTTTTTCCAAAAATTTTGATCTTGTAGTGCCACGCCTACATTTCTTCAGCTGTGATTGGTCGATCAATATATACTAAAAATAGTAACACATTTTTACCGATTGTTTTTTCACCACACTGAAATTTTTCCTACAGTTTGCTCACAAACAAGTTTTTGTTTTTTGTAAAATCACCGATTGGTTCATTTTTCATCCAATCGTGTATTTTCAATATGTTATTTCTCAAAATATTGTCCTGCGTTCGTGCTGGGAGCCACCGGTAGTAATATAAATCCGGATACATTCCCAAATCAAGCAGTAGAACCAGCACCACGGTAGAATGCAGAACAGAGACAGTAGATCTGGACTACTTTACGTGTTATTCATTATTGTTACACGTATTACACACAGATACAGAACGTGAATTTGATAGACATTCAGTTCTCTGTGAACAAACCAAGTACAATCTTCTGAAGATACATTCTATCATAACACAGAACTCTGAACTTTATACTCAGAAAAACTTGCTTATGTGGGGTTAGCGTACCCGGATTAAAGGAGAATTTAATACGAGATACCCTGCCCACAAAATACAACGCAAATTCAAGAAGTAACAACACGATAAGGAACGTTTGTAGAAAAGAGAACATTGTATATTTATTATTTTGTGAATGGGGTAAAAAAGATTAATGCTTTAGTTAGTTTAATCAAAAATGTGATTTTGACAAAACTGTTTGTGTTCGCTGTCTTTCAACAGAGTAGAAGAGTAATGTCTGTTTTTTTTGTTTTTGTAGGGTGTAAAGGAAAAAGGATCAATTTCAGTTGAAAAGAGAGTTTGGATGAGAAATAAAAGATAAGAGGAAAATGTCTTTTGGAGTCAGTTGAAAATTTGTTGTTGTTGTTGTTGTCCTTTTTGATACTCCAACTTTCGGCTCTTAGTGTCGGGTTGAGTCAGTGATGGAATTTACTGTCAGTCTTCTGTCCTCTATGATCTCTGCTCCCTGCTGACTGGCGACTGACTTGAAACTCTGTATTTATTGTTGACTTTTTTTTCACACTGGCTCGTTATCTTTTTTGGGGGGTTTAGCAAATCGCCTCCTTTCATTGGTCAGAAAATTAATTTCACACCTTATTGTGAAATCTGTTTTTGGTCGTTGTGATCCGATTTTGCGGGTGTGCAAATCTACTTTGTGTTAAAAAACACAAAGTAGATTTGCACACCCGCTTGTTGGAATGATATAGGATTTGTATCCTATACTTAAAAACATTTCCTAACAGATAAAGGGAAACTACTTTTTTCTCCCTATTCGCACATTATACAACTACCTTGTATTTATTGTTGATTTTAATATATATGTTTATTCGTTGAAACAAATTGGTTCTTCATTGTTTTTTCCTTGGTGTTTTTAAATATTATGTATGAATGCTAAATGCTTATTCAACACGCAGCCACATTGGTAACTTCAACATTAAACTAAGCTAGCATTCTACAATCTAATTTGTTAAAAATGAAAACTGAACTCAACAAGTATAATAACTAAACAGATGTAATAACCTGTCCAAAAGTAATCAAGAACTATGAATTGGACATAAATTCAACTTGTGAGGGTTTTTTTTAATAAAGGGACAATATAAACAAGTAATAAATTATGTAATGGTAATCTACTAGCATTATATTTGTCAGTTTTTAGGGACAGTCTCTCGCAAAATAGTTCTCCAAAAAACAATACATCTATTATTTTCGCTGATCTTGAACCTTGGTGTTTTGAAGGATTTGTGTTCGGGCGTGATACTCGGCCAGGATTTTCTGTATTAGCATCAGGAAGCAACCTTCAAATACGGTGAGTCCCTACCCGAATTAAATGTGGACAGTGCTCGTCAATTCTGTGCATTAAACACGGCAGAGATAGAAGAACCTTCACTGTGGGATCTTCCACAACAAACCAGCCTTACCTCTTTTTAGGAAATGCACTCTTCCTATCTGGTAAGTAACATTCTACTTTCATATAAATATAACAAGTATTCATTGGTCAGTCACCTCCAATCTAGCTTGCTGATTGGTCAGTTCCGACCAATCAAACCGCCTGCACGCGACCAATCTGTTTTCCCGCTCATATGCTGGGATCCTACCACATGTGTACACGACCATTATATAAATCCAACACGTGTACAACTCCCTTGAGTAGTTTTCTTTTCATTCATCTTTCTCGCACGTCTCATTTCCTTGCTACCAAGTGCCAAGATGTAATCTTCAAGAACTCCCGCCTTAGCCATTGCGGTGAGACGTTAAAAACAATTACCAACATTCACAAACTCTGAAATCACTTCTGAACTTTTACCAACTTTAGAACTCACAATTCCAAACTTTATTCTTCTAAATTACAGTTTAATATTACTTCTTCTTAATATGAACTCAGGTACGACTAAATCAAAGGGACACGACTCTGTCCTACCTTTTCAGTTCGCATGCATGTACAGCAAACATTAATAAATCTAATTGTTATGTTTTGAAATCATTCCGTTCAGTTTTGTATTTTATACTATGTGCTATTTACGTCAAATATAAATTGCATTGCGTCCACGAATTGTCCTTTAATCTCACCTTTCCTAGCCAAAGTTAAATATTGGTAACTCAGTCACTACAATAATGATGACCCCGACGTTCGTCGTTCGACGTTCGTCGTTCGACAGTCGTCGTTCGACAGTCGTCGTTCGTCGTTCGACGTTCGACAGTCGTCGTTCGTCGTTCGACGTTCGACGTTCGTCGTTCGACAGTCGTCGTTCGACGTTCATCGTTCGACGTTCGTCGTTCGACAGTCGTCGTTCGTCGTTCGACGTTCGACGTTCGTCGTTCGACGTTCCCGACAACAATGGTAATACAACTGCTACATCACTATTTCTTAATTTAACACTAAACCCATTGTCGACAGGCCGAGGCACTTTAACAAGAACGATCCAGGCCTTCATTATTAAAGAAACTCAGAACTTGCTTTCGAAAGGCACAACTGAAAAAAGCATTTCACCATGGCGAACCCAGCTATGCACATTCGTTTTTTTTTATGACGGTGGTTAGGGTCAACCATCGTCATAAAAAAAACGAATGTTCGTAGATTACTCAGAGACGATAGACATATACATAGAACTGGACGCTTGTCCCCTGTCAAGAATTGATAAAATAGTTAATGACCTCACAGCATTTTTTCTCAATTTGACCTCAAAAGTGCCTTACCACCAGGCGTCGCTTAAAAAATCAGATAAAAAAAATATGCTGCTTTTGAGGTGAATGGTCGTTTGTTTCAGTTCAGTAGAATTCCGTTTGGGGCCAAAAACAGGACCGCCCAGTTCCAGAGAGCTATTGACAGAATAATAATGAAAGAAAACCTACGCGGTGCGTTCTCTTACATCGACGATATCACAATTGCAGGGCGGACGCAGACAGAACACGAGCAAAACGTAAAAGAGTTTCTGGAGGCTATTACGAAGGCCAAACATACACTCAGCAAGTCGAAATCTCTAGCTTCCGTACGCCGCATCAATGTGTTAGGATACCGTGTCGGTAGCAGAGTTATTTAGCTCGACCCCAAAACACTTTGTCCCTTAAGAGAGCTACCTCCACCAGAAAACTCAAAATCATTAAAAAGGCGCTGGGCATGGGAAAGGTGGCGGCTTAAAAACTGAGAAAAAAAAAGTAACGAGCCGATGTAAAATCGCTTTTTGATATAAATAGACAGAAAAAGTTGAATCAAAGCACAGAGAGAGAAAGCAGAAAGATGCAGGAGGCAGAAAGCCAGAGTTCCACGCGTCTGAATAATGCCGGTGTCAAATTACACACTGATACATTATCAGCCTCTAATGAAAGCGGGGAAATTTCAAAGAACTCTATTCAACACCAAAGCTAAGTACTTAAAATATATCTTTTTATTCATGTTGAATACTATTGTATAACGTTCATATGAAAAACGAACTCTTTCAATTTGTTTTAAACATTCTGGAATATTACTTTGTGTCCAATGATTTAATATAAACATTTTCACCTCTTGAAAATTCATCAAAACTACGAACTTTAAATATCTGATTCCTTTTCTTGAAACAAACTACTGGCAAGAAGTTCAAATGTGTTAATTTGTAAGTAAATTCATCGTTTAGTTAAATATAATACGTGTGTTTCTTCATCATTATTCCTCAATACTTCAAAACAATGACTCATCGCTTATCAATCACCACCGTTGTTAAAACATGCTTTCTCGTATTTTAAACTACATTTTTCCTGCGAAGAAAGTAGTGTTTGTTTTACACAAACTTTTGATTTTCTAATTTTTCTCAAATAAATTTTGAAAAACGATAAATGGCGTTGCTTTCGTTCTGGTTAGCATGTGTCACATTCTCTGGCTAACCGACCATCATCGTCACATTTTTAATTTTCTTTTTTTTTTTTTACATATTTTGTGGTAACTACCATCACCATTAAATACACACAGTACATAGAAATCATGCGACAAGCATTCATTGGTTGATCTCCCCAAAACTAGCACGCTGATTGGTCAATTTCGACCAATCAGATATCCTGCACGCGAGGAATGAAATTTCCCGCTCACTAAGGTTGAGCCGATCACGTGATACCCAGCCTTATATAAACAAAACACGTGTAAGCTCTCTCTCTCTCTCTCTCTCTTTCGTCACTCTTGCGTCTTATTCCTTGCTGCCAAAATGTGACCTTCAAGAACTCTCGTCTCAATCTTGCGGTCAGACGTTAAAGAACATTACCATTTCACGCAAGTACGAACTCTAAAATCTCTTCTGAACTCTTAAAAACTTTACCAATCCACAATTCCTAACATGCAACAGGAACTTATTCTTCTAAACTACATTTCAATAGTTAATTCACTTTGTGAGCTCACGTACAAATATTTCCAAATCTAAGAGACATAACTCTATCAAACCTTCAGTTTACATGCATGTACATCAACACTAATAAATTCAATTGTTATGTTTTGAATCATTACGTTCTGTTTTGTATTTTATGCTATTTTACGTCAAATATAAATTGCATTGCTTTCCTTAATCACGCCTTTCCTAACCAAAGTAAAATATATGTATCACCCAAACCCTACAATTTTACTAAATATTTTTTCATTTTTTAAATATAATCAATTTTTTCCTTTTTCAGTGAGAGACATACTGCAATTATTCATTTTTTCTTTTTTTTTTTGACTCAATTTTAGGGATGGAAATAGTGTAGGCTTTTGACATATCTTCATTAAAAAGTACCTAAAAAATTCAATAAAATATTAGACTTTTGAAAGTATTTAATTTTTAAGAATTACTTTATAGTTAAATAAACTGGTTCACTTAAAATTCGAAAATATTGTCGCTTCTGTCCTTCCGTCCGATGAATTGCCCTGACGTTAGTTGTTGATACATTGACGTAAACGTCAGTTCACACCTCCAAAACCAATCACCACGGTTAGACATGCTTCTCTTATTTCCAACTAATTTTTTTTCTGCTAAAAAATGAAGTAATATTTGTTTCCAATTACATTAAGCAAACTTTAAATTTTCTTATTTTCCTAAAATAACTTTTGAAAAAAAGTATAACTGAATTTTACAAGATTTTTAAACATAAAATTTAATTTTTGTTTACAAATTTCTCAAAAATGGTATCCTCGATTTTATGGTAATTTCGTTGATCAATCTCTCCCCACCCACCCCGCCCCCACGAAAGAAATTGACTAAAATTTCGGAGTGTGAATTAAAAAAAAATAATCGAAATATACTTTGGTCTTTCCTCTTGATTTCGTACAAACTTTGGTACATAATTGTTGTGTAGGAACCTACCACCCCTCTTGAAGATGAACTCGTCTAAAAACAAGGACGTAAAATAGTGGCATGTCAAAAGAGAGGGTCGAAGAAGTTCTGAGCTGAGTTAGTTATAGACTACTCAGGCGATATCTGTACCAACTTACCAACCGAATAAACCCCATTTTATTGTTACATGTTATTTGGCGTTTGTCTTTATTAACCCCAAATTAACATCATACATAACAATAATCATCAGTGATGTTTCTAGTCGAGGTCAATTAGGGGTTTCGGGTCTTTCAACATCAACCCCTCCTCCCACACCTTTCCGCGGTAAACCAGCCGATACTGATCGGGTATCGACTTCACTTGTGTACCATCCGTCAGCTACAATTTTCTCCTTCTTTTCAATGACACACTGCCATGTGACTTCTGGCAATTTATAGTTCAATGACGGATAACTTCCGGTTCACCCGCAACGTAGTTACGCTCTTCCATAAAAAAGGAAGCAAACGCAACCACAGCTTCGAGCTGGTCAGGAACATAGAAGTGGTAAGTAATGATTTGTTTCCCTCACTGATAAAATGTGTGTGTGTGTGCGCGCGCGCGTGTATGTATGTATATATTTATTCACACACACACATAAGCTAAGCAGTACTCATTGGAAAGAGCTCAATATCAGTGATAGAGCTCTGCTAACAGTTAGTTGGATTGAATTGAGTTTGTGACCCTGGGTTTCACGCTCTTTGCGATCGTCAGACCAACTTTATCTACACGTACACTCCATTCATCTGTCCGAAAAAACAAAAACAAAAGAAAACTAAAATAGCCCCCCCCCCCAAACATAAATAAAAAAATTGTTTTCATTATAAAGTTTAAGGCCGTTTTTATCGTGCTATGGTCTATCTTTTTAGCGATTTCGTGGAGACATTTTTTATGTTGTTTTTGTTTTTAGTTTATCTTTCCTTGGGGGGTGGGGGACCTTATGCAGTATTGTAATTTTTATTGTAAAAAGAGGCACATTGCATTTGCATTGATTATTTTTACATACATGACTGACCATTATTTGGCACGCAAAGCGCTTAAATTTTTCGTCTGTTTGTTTTGTTTCTTTAAACTTGGCTCGTGTCGTCTGTCTTTGTTGTGTGCCCTTATGGGTAAAATTGCAGATTAGGACCCAGAAATGAAATTAAAAAAGAAGCATCATTTCTGGTGTTAAAAAAAAAAAAATGCTGAATATTCCAAAAACTAAACAAACAGCATTGTTAAAAAATGCGGAAACCTACCGTTTACCGTACGGTTTCGTTTATTTCTTAAGTTTGGGGCCTTTTTCAGCGTAAAAGTGGACTAAAAAAGCATGATTATTATTCCAAAAATAGCCTTTTTGCGGAAATTTAACGCAATCTTACTTGAGTCCCGGGTGCAACACGGCTGCCCTTATATGTTATATCCAAAGTTTTTTAATTTAGTGGGTAATTTTTTTTTTTTATACCCCCCTCAAAAAAAAAAGCCTTTACATTTGAGGCGACCAAGTTGTACCCGGGACCCAGATAAGATTGTCAATACGACCCTCCTAAAAGGTGAACTTTCCGCAATTTTTATTGCTATTCTTTAATCTTTACCAAATAAAAATCCTTTAAGTGCTGGAAGTAAAAAAAGAGAAGGAACGTACTTCAGATTTTTAGAAGCAACCAGAAAAACCTAATGGTAAAAAAAAACTGTAAACAAGGGATAAAATAAAATTAAAAACGTTTAACTACTCCTGTTCAAAATACCGGGGAGAAGTGTGAACTGGACAATAGGCGAACCTATCTTTTGAAAATCACCCCCAACCAAAAAAAGGAGTTTTTTTAAAGCTTCTGAAAAGAAAAAAAAAATCAAAATTATTTCTTTTATTCATTTAAACAATTCCAAGAGAAATTTTTGTTGATTTCGCTTAAAAATTAATGAAGAAAATAATGATATAAATAATTCTCGCTGCAAAAAAGAAATCGGGAGAAATTATTTTTTTTGGTCTACCGATCGTCTCTATTTTTGTTTGACCAGATATTGGGGGAAAAAAAGTGAAAAAAAAAACAACAAAAAACCGGTGATAATGAAAACGAATTCCTTTTTTTAGTCTTTTCGTTTAAAAGCTTTTAAAATTATTTCTGTTTCCGGTCTTAGAAAATTAATTTAAATTTAAATGAACATGTAAATTTTATAATTATGAGAACTTTCATTGTAAAAAGAAAACTTTTCTTTATAAAAATCGAGTTTTTTTCTTGATATATTATATTCTTTAATCAGTAAAGGTTTAATGTTTCTTCAGTTTTTTTTAGGGGACTAACTTTACTTAACACCGCCTAAGCGTATTTCTCTCAAGTCCAAAAAAAAATGCAGACGGTAAGAATGTTTTTTTCTTAATTTATTTTTACTCTTTCGTTTTTTTTTTTTGTTGTTTTTTTTTAGAAAATAATAATGTTTACAAATTTTGATCCCACAGTAAGTTTTAACCTCCACTTTTTCGGCATAAATTTTCGATACCTAAGTTTAAAATGAATTTTTTTAAAATGAAAAAACATACTTGAAGATTTCATTTTAGCTTTAATTGAAATTTTAATCATTAAATTTATTATTTCCATTAAGTAAACAATTCTGGTGTATTTCAGATAGAAACTATATACATTGAATGTCAAATTTAATTTTGAATTTTAAATTTTCTTAAAACGAACATTTTCTTAATTTTAAGAAATTTGTAAACAAACACAAATTTATCGATTTTAAAAAAAATATTTAAAAAATTTCTGACACGTTATTTTAGTAAAATTAGAAAATTTAATGTTAAATTAATCTGATTTAAAAGAAATATTACTTACTTCTAGCATAAAAAAGTAATATACAACCAATTATTAACGATTGGTACTGGTGTTTTTATCCAATATTTGATCTATGTGTTGATTGACGAGTGATAACAACTACTACGGATGACCATAAATGAAAATTAGAAATCTGAGTGAACGCTTTTTTTTTTAGTTTTACTGTTATATTTATTTATTAGAATAAAGGGACAAAACTCTTTTTATAATAATGGCAATTTCAGTCTACCGTACATGGAAATAAGGAACGTATTAAGTAAAAAAATACATTATTATTATTATTTGAAAAAAAATTAGCACAACTAAGTTTATTAAACTTTGCAATTTTGAACTCGTAAATTTTGTTTCTACTTAATTACTAATTACCACAAAGAGATAGCCTAATACAGAGTTTTGCACGATTTTTAAAATATTATAAATTATTATAATTAAAATTTAAAACAAATGAAAAAATTCTTGTAAAATTTAATCATTCATCAGAAAACATTTATTTCTTCAGGCAATAATGACTTTAATATTACTTATTTACAAAAGCAATTAAAAGCTTTTCTAATTAAGTAATATCATAGTTTTATTAGATTCATTATTTTTCAATTCAGAGCAGATTTTCAGTTAGCGCAGATAGGTGATTTACCATCTCTAATGACTCTTACTTTAAACAAAAAAAATTTTTTCAGGAAATAAAAAGGTTTTGAACGAAATTTCAGGACAATAAGTAAATGGGGTAAAACATATTTAAAAAAAAAATTTTTTTACCAAAATTTTCTAAAAAAAATATTTCAAAAATAATTTCATTCATTTGTGAATAAGTCCTGAAAATTTCATTAAAATCGGACAATTATTTGAATTTTTACAAGAATTTCCAAATCAATGTGTTTTCAACGGAAAAAAAAAAAAAAAAAAAAAAATGTTATTTTAACGTCCCCGCGATGACGTAAACTAAAAAAGATTTTAACCAAAATTTCGAACGTGTTAGAAAATATTAAAAAAATTCAAAAAATAACTAAAAAAATACTTTGGTCTTTCATAAGCATTTTGACGATAAAACTTTATTTTCGTTAAGTTTGTGGCATTTTTTATTACGCTATGCTGTTTTCCCGCGAAAAAGTGGAGGTGCCTTTTTTAAATTTTTTTTTTTTTTTTTTTTTTTTTGCATTGAGTTTTTATTTTTTTTTAAATGAATTTATCTTGAGAACAGGTCACCTGTTTTTAGTGGGATACTTTTTATTTTCATTTTGTCTTCTAAAATAGTCGTTTTTTTTTCTTTCTTTCTGCACAGTGCAATCGCTAACATTTTAAATTTAAAATAATTTATTCAAATCCGTTTTAAACATCATGGGAGGAGAGTAACTGAAAACGTTTTTTTGAAAATTAAAAAAAAATATTACAACTACCGTTTACGCACGTCCACCTGTTTAGTTTACTGAAAAAACAGCATAGCATGATGATGAAAAAAGGCCCTAAATTTAATAAAAACAAAGTTTTATCGTCAAAAATGTTCGTTATTATTAAGAGGAAAGACCAAGGTATTTTTTAATTATTTAAAAAAATAAAAAAAATTTAAATAACACGTTCGAAATTTTGGTTAAAATCCTGTTTTTTTGTTTTGTTTTTAAACGTCAGCGACAAGTAATTTTTATTTTTACAATGAAGTGTTTTTGCGTTTTTTGTTTTTTTTTTTTTTTTTTCCGGTAAAAAACGCATTGACTTGGAAATTAAGATAAAGATTAAAAATAATTGTCGGATTTTAATGATACTTTCAGAGATTATTCACAAATGAATGAAATTTTATTGTTTTAGAAAATCTTGGTAAATTTTTTTTTTTTTTTTTACATGTTGTTACACCACACTTAATTTCATGAAATTTCGAGAAATTAGATTGTATGTCCAGACTTTTTTTTATTAGCTAAAAAAAAAAAAATAGGCTTCTTTGGAGAATGTAAATCATCAAATGTTTTGCTTGGTTTCTTAAAATCTCTCCAAATGGTAAATTAAAACAATTTAAAAAAACTATGACACTATTTAATTAGAAAAGCTTTTAATTGCTTTTATGAATAAGTTATTAAGGACACTATTGTCTTAAGAAAATATTTTCAATGAATAATGAATTTTTACAAGAATTTTTTTTTAATTTAATTATAATAATTTAAAATTCAGCATTACTGCATTTCTTTTATGTGATATTGTAATTATGTGGAAACTTTATTTACAAATCAAAAACTAAAAAGCTTAATATAAGTCGTTTTGCACCAATATTTTTAAAATAATTAAAATTTTTTTTTATTTTTATTTAAGCGTTGCCATTTTCCATCTATGGTAGACTGTACATGACATTATTATTATATTATTATCTTATGTTCTAAGAGTTGTCCTCTGTTTGCAGAGAAATTTGCTTGTTTCCAATTCATTATTCATTACTTACATTTCATGAAATACTCACTGGGCTCATAGTTGGACGTACAATCAAACATATTTGGACAATTGGTGTCAACTGTGACTACGGCCATAACATCAGTAGTTTTGCAAATCCATATTTTTATACGATTTCATATCTTAATGATATAGCTGACTACCATTAATTGAACAAATATGAAATTGGTACTGTTATGAAGGACTTGTATTTCAAAAATCAACCCAGCAATGATGACGATTGAAGAAGCAGTAGAAGACAAAAATGGCCCTTTTCAGGGTCACAAAATATTCATGAAAATCTTTTCCCTGTTACACATAGTAGCAATTTCTTTTAAATATTGTTTATTTGGTTAAAATAATAAGTTTAAACAATTATGCAATTAATAAATTTAAAGTAAGATAAAAATTTAGTAATAAAATAACCATCATGATAATAATAAAGAGTAAAATAAAATAAAAAATATATTAAATATATAAATTAATAATAAATAAAATAGTTTAACATTTCATAAATTATTGATTTTTACCTCTATTATGGTATTTCATTTCAGTTATTAAATTTTAAAATTAATCCAAGAAAATTTTATATTTTATTATTTTTCATAAAGCATCTTCAAACACAACTAAAAGTCAATAAGACATTAGATAATTGCTGAAAATTTGTTTAATTTGTAAAAATTACTAGGTAGTTAAAAACCAAAAAAAATGAAAATACATTCACTCAGATTTTGTAAATTTATGTCAATTCTGGTCGTCCATACTCGCTGTCATAACTTATTGATAACATTGATAAAAACATGAGAAAAATAGGACCCATCATTAAGAAATGTTTGTATACTTTTTTTTGTTTCAAATCAGATTAATTTAACTTTAAATTTGCTCATTTTACTCAAATAATGTCACAAATATCTTTTTTTGCAAGATTTTTAAAACTGATAATTTTGTTTACAAATTTCTTAAAAGTGATAAAATGGCCACTTGCAAGAAGATTTTTTTGAAAGCGAGCATTCCAATCTGTATAATTTCTGTTTTAAATATACCAGAATATTTTACTTACTGGAAATAGTAAATTTAATCATTTAGCTTTCAATTAAAGCTAAAAGATAGCTTCAAGAACGATTTCATTTTTAAACCATGGTATCGAATGTGAGTGGAGGTTCCTGTTTTGACGTTATTTACACTATTTATATTTGAACTATTGTCTTCATCTATGTTTTTCTGATAAAAACAGCAATAAACAAAGATGAGGGTGTAGACTCTTCCACAACACAACCAGCCTTACCTCTTTGTAGGAAATGCACTCTTTCTATCTAGTAAGCCAAATTCTACCTTCAGACAATATAACAAGTATTCATTGGTCAATCACCTCCAACCTGGCTTGCTGATTGGTCAGTTCTAACCAATCAAACCACCTGCACGTGACTAAGCTGTTTTCCCGCTCTTATGCTGGGAGCCACCCGGTGATTATATAAACAGAAAACGTGTGAACCTTCCGAGCAGTAATTACCAAGTTTCACGATGTAACCTTCACCGACTCCCGTCTTAGTCATTGCTGACCAGACGTTAAAGACAATTGCCAACTTCATACAGTCAGACCTCTTCACCTAGAGAGAAGCCCATCAACTCCATGCCAGTCAAAACTCGGACTTTGCCGCGCAAAAAGATACATCGCTGACTCATACTCGATCAAGATTCAATCAACTCTGTGTACATCATTTCTCAACTTTGCTTATCTAAAGTGAATCAAATTCACTACTTACTAAGTAAACTCTACGAACGAATGACCTTAGAAAAATATTACAGTTAAAGGTAGATCACTCTTAAAAAACTCTTTCTATAAGACACTTAATATCAACAATCGCAAATATCGACACAAACAAAAAAAATACTCCAAATGAACAAACAATTACGAAGAGAGACATTCTGAGATCTGAAGAAACCACATACACATTTCGCCTACACAACATACATCAATTATCCTGTCTGTATATTGTTTGATTTGTATATAAATGTTGTATTGATTTCTAATTGAATATGTCTCGTTTTTCAATTGCATTTT